CTTCCCTGGTTGAGTTGTGAGCCGCCCTGAGTCCCCTTCGGGGGGAAAAAGGCGGCATATAAATAAAATCAACATTCAACAACATTCAACATTAACATTCAAAAGCAAAGCAAAGAAAAAAAATGAAATAATAATATTTCATATTATTTTTCTGACCTTATATGTTAAAATCTGAATCTAGGAATTTTTATTTTCTCATAATGAAAAGTAATATTCCTCTTCCCCATAAAACAAACGATCCATGTGGGTTTTGTGTGTGCATACAGCATATCCCAGCGTCTTTGCTACGCGCAGAGTTGTATAACTGTATTTGGGGAATCAAGAATCTTGGTTTGGCAAAAATGGTCACTTAAGGCAACAAGGTGGCTTAAGATATAGTTCGAAATAAGAGGGAAGCTTCTTTATTCTCCTCACCTTACTCCCCTGTCAGGGGATAACAGGATTTCATAATAAAACGACCACAGGAAGAGATGAAAACCTATGTTTAGAATCTTTTTTTTTTTAAAGGAGAGCACATGTTTTGTTTAAATGCGTGCACATCCTTCTGGCTGGAACATCTGTTTCTAACCGGTTGTTCCTCTTGGCTGCTTTTCAATTGGATTTCCTTGAGCAGGTCCAAAGCTTGTCACCTTAGCCAGGGTCTGTTAGCTATCACCACTGGTCCCACATTAAGTAGGAGGTTCAGGGCTAAGCTAATAACTCTTCTGCTTTCTGACTGATCACAGCATTTCTTGTGGTGGCTACTTATCATGTTAGCTCCTCAGGGAAGTTGCCTTCTTTGTCTGCGTCTTTTTTGCAGAAACTGTTTTTCCTCCCTTCTCTTCTGTCATCCCTGCCGTTGCGCTAAGAATAGCAAGAGAATTCTTGCTTGCATGGAAATGCTGTTTAAGGCTCACCTGCTGTTTGCATGCTGCTCTAGTCCACTTAGGGCTACCTTTTACATCTAAATTACCTGGCTACCTGTATTCCCGACTCCTTTCTCTCCCCCACCCCACTCCATGGCTGCTTACGAACGG